GCCATTGAATCAACAAAGACTCACAGCAAGACTGCAGGACAGGGTAGAACTGCCCTGTGTGTTTCTTAGGTGGGAACTTTCATGGGACTAGTAAGCCTCATTGTTCTCTGCAGAGTGGCTAGTGGTTTCACTGCTAACCTTGTGGATCTCAGACCAATACCTAGCTATCACACCAGCAGGGATCCCTAAGAGCGACTAATGTATATATAAACTTTTTAAAAAGTAAGCAGAATAAGAGTCGCTTTTAAGATCTTAAAGGCTTGTTTTCAAACAAACAGCCATCTAAGTGAGATGGCAACTAAGTTCCCATGGAAGTGACACACTTACATGAGTGATCCAAGGATTGTAAATGATATAATCTGAATCAGAAGGAGGGAAAGGTATCAGAACTTAAATTGTGAAATTCTGGTTTGCGGAAGGCTATGGCAGCCCCAAATCCATTTGCAGGATCTACACATGGAATAAATCTCCAGTGATTTCCCTCTGAACACATTTGAAGGATGGAAAGAGCCTGATTATCAGAGAATTGTAGAGATTCTTATAGTTGATTAAAATGAAAAATCTGTTGTTTTGAGAATGATGATGGAAACAGATGTACAAATGTGCTTGAAACAATGGATGGATGGATTGTAATGACTTGTGTGAGCCTCCAATAAAATGATTTATTTTAAATCGGACTTGAATGGTTAAAAATTGTCATTTGGTTTCCTTTTTGATACACTTTGAGATTGGTCTGGTTTTCAATATTTTCTTTCTCAAACTGGGTTTTACCTATTCTATTTTGTTATTGTTGCTATCCTTCTTGACTCTCTGTTATGTATTTCAGTAAGTGAAACCCAGGATGGGTAAATCTAGAGACAATAGCTTGATTAATAGTTCATGTCAGGGGAGGTGGGGAGATACTCATGGGGAGCTAATATTAAGGAACCCTGGTGGTATAGTGCGTATGCCTTGGGTTGTGATCTGTGTGGTCAGCAGTTTGAAACCACCACCAGCTCTGTGGGAGAAAGACTGGGCTTTATATTCCTGTCAATAGTTACTGTCTTGGAAACTGAAATAGTTAAAGTTTATTGTGCCAACCTGGCCAATAAACACGTGGGGTTAATTGAAGGGCAGAGAGATAAATGGTATGGTGAGCCTCGCCTTTCTAATTCTCAGGTCTCTTGCTCTCTGATGGTCAGGCCAGGGTACAGCTGCCTTAGCCAGTTCCCTGCTTCAGCTTGCAAGGCTCACTTCCTGCAAGACATCCCCAAGGAGAAGCCACATGGACCTACCCTGATG